CCCCCCCTCCACAGAGCCGATTCCCAGCGCAGCAGCCGAAGCAAAGAAGTCCGCCGGGATCCGAACTCGGCACAAATCGAATCGACGGCGAACCGGTCATTAACGGGTTGCCGCGCACTGACCGTCGCCCAATCGACGTAACGAAAGCAATGGTATGAGAGGAAGAAGACAAAAAATGACATGGTTCAATGACCCTCAACCGACCCCCACAACCCCTGAGTAACTGCACGTCGATTCGAAGTATGTGTGTCTGTACTGAAAGCCTTTGCAGCCCGCGCGACTTCGACACCGAAGCGCCTCCGCACTCGAACGACAATAATGACTGCCACCGTCAGCTACCCCTATATACCCCAACCACGGCAACACACACGACGAGCTTGATTGCGCACCCATGGGTCCCCGACAATAACAACACACGCGATGGACCAGGCCGCGTAAAAGGACGGTTAGCATCACCCGGAACTAGAAAGTTCGCTGCGCTCCTAACCTCGTGTCCACGCTCTGCCGCTGTCAGCAGGAAGGCTAGCCGTGGGTGCAGCACCTCACAAGTCGTCGCAGCGCGGGCCCGAAGAGACCCCTGCGAACACCGATTGCCCCTATCGACCAAACTACCTGATTTCGAAAGGCAAAGGTAGAACAGCATGCAACTCCAACAGCCAGGCGGCGTGGAGAAGAAAATTACAACCAAGGATGGAAGACCCTCCCGGAACCCCAACAAATCCCGGTCCGTGAAAACGAGAAGGCGATCTCCGACTTGTGGCAATGTTGACACCTCACCGCGCGAACCGCAAAGCACGCCGAGGCAGAAGCATGTCGGCGATTGAACCTCACCTGTCGCGACGATTCCTTTCATCGGAGGGCAACGAAGATCAACGGCAGACCGCATTTCGACCCGGCCACAAAAACCGTCGTCGACCCCAATAAACCCCTTTAAGGGCAATCCTCAAGACGAAAAATTTTGCGCACCACCAGGCCACCGCGCACGAAAACGCACGGGGAAGTCTAAGCCGTTGAAAATGACGGTCAGAATAACTGAGAGTCCTGAAGCTCGCAAGGAGCCGTCGTTCAAGCGGGCCTTGGAGCACCAAGGAACCGGTTTTTGCGCGGCCGGTGTCATTTGAAGGGAGCGTCAGCAGCGGCACGCAAGGAACGCTATTTTCGCGCGCACAGAAGGAAGGCCATCGCGCTTTCAATTGGTTGTCGTGAGACAACACTTGCAGAACAAAGGGTGGCGCTCGATGTACCACCAGACCATTCGGCGCAGCGCGACCTCAAATTGACCCCTACAGACACAGACGGCGAGTAATGTTGCGCACCAATACTCCTCGTGCAATCAACTCGCACGCAAAGGTCCACGCATCATGCGAAGGATGGTTAGATTCCCACGGATCCTCAAAGTCTGCGGGGATCCGAACTCGGCGGAATGCGAGTGCAGAGAGTAATTGGTTTTCGCACGGCTGGAGCTATTGGAACGGGTGGTTGGCGTTTGCACAGAAGCAGGCCATGCTTGGGGGCACCCCCCACAAACCCCCATAAGCCATTTCTTGAATCGAGCATTGTGCGCACCCCTGGGCCTCCGACTTCCAGAACACGTCGGGATCGACGGCAGACCGACAACGGACACGTCTGCTGTCATCGACGGCAACCCCCAGAAACCCCTACACGGGCATTCATGACGGCGAAGAGTTTTGCCCACCAATACTCCTCCTAGAAGAAACTCGCACGGAAAGGTCCACGCCTCATGCGAAGGACGGTTAGATTCCCACGGTTAGATTCCCGCGGTAAGATTCCCGTAAATAACATGTCGAAATGCAGAAATGGATGAAAGACCCCCTCCCCTGCAACCCTTCCAAACCCCGACTCCGCCAGTCTACAAGGCGAACCCCGATTTGCGCGCCGGGAACGTCGACGTGCGACAGCGCGAACCGGAAAGCGCTCCGGAACACAAGCACGTCCGCAACAAGACTTCGCGCTCCGCGATGGTCCAAGCCCGTAGGGGGCAACATAGATCGACGGCAGACCAATGAAGGTCACGTCTGCTGTCACCGTCGGCCACCCCCATAAACCCCTACGCTGGCATTCCAGGCGGCGAGAAATTTTGTGCCCCAACACTCCTCCCTGGACCTGCTTGCACGAAAGGTCCACGCCTCATGCGAAGTACGGTTAGATGAATGCGGATTCTCAAAGTCCGTCGGGATCCGAACTTGGCGGATGCGAGTGCAGCGAGTAGCAGGTTTTCGCGCGGCTGCAGCTATTGGAACGGGTGGTTGGCGTGTGCACAGAAGCTGGTGATGCTTGGCCGCACCCCCCATAAATCCCTAAACGCCAATTCTTGAGGCAAGCACTTTGCGGAACGAAGGGCCTGCGACCACCAGAACACGGCGGGATCGACGGCAGACCGACAACGAACATGTTTGCAGTAATCGACGTCAACCCCCGTAAACCCCTACACGGCCATTCCAGACGGCGAGGAATTTTGCGCAGCAGAACTCCTCCCGGAAGCAACGGGCACGCAAAAGTCCACGCCTCATGCGAAGGACGATTAGATTGTCGGGGATCCTCAAAGTCCGCCGGGATCCGAACTTCGCAGATGTGTGTGCAGCGAGCAACTGATTTTCTTGTGGCTGCAGCTATTGGAATACACGGTTTGCGTCTGCACAGAAACAGACGATGCTTGGCCGCACCCCCCATAAACCCCTACAAGCTATTTCTTGAAGCGAGCATTTAGCGCACCCCAGGGCCTCCGACTTCTAGAGCACGTCGGGATCGACGGCCGACCGACAACGGACACGTCTGCGGCCACCAACGGCAACCCCCTTAAACCCCTACAAGGGCATTCCGGACGGCGAGGAATTTTGCGCACCAATACTCCTCTCGCAATCAAGTCGCACGCAACGGTCCACACGTCATGCGGAGGACGGTTGGATTCCAGCGGATCCTCAAAGTCCGCAGGGATCCGAACTTGGCGAATGCGAGTGCAGCGAGTCACAAGTTTTCGCGCGGCTGCAGCGGTTGGAACGGTTGGTCGGCGTTTGCACAGAAACGGACAATGCTTGGCCGCACCCCCCATAAACCCCTACAAGCCATTTCCTGAAGCGAGCATTTAGCGCACCCCAGGGCCTCCGGTTACCAGAGCACGTCGTGATCGACGACAGACCGACGACGGACACGTCTGCTGCCACCAACGGCAACCCCTTTAAACCCCTACAAGGGCATTCCAGACGGCGAGAAATTTTGCACACCAACACTCCTCTCGCAATCAAGTCGCACGCAACGGTCCACGCGTCATGCGTAGGACGATAGGATGCCAACGGATCCTCAAAGTCCGCCGGGATCCGAACTTGGCGGAAGCGAGTGCAGCGAGTCACAGGTTCTCTCGCGGCTGCAGCGGTTGGAACGGTTGGTCGGCGTTTGCACAAAAGCAGATGATGATTGGGCGCACCCCCCGTAAGCCCGTACAAGCCATTACTTGAAGCAAGCATTCTGCGCACCCCAGGGCCTCTGACTGCCATAACTCGTCGGGATCGACGGCACCCCGATAACGGACACGCATGATGGCACCGACGGAAACCCCCGTAAACCCCTGAATGGGCATTCCTTACGGCGAGGAGTTTTGCGAACCAATACTCCTCCCGGCAGCAACTCGCACGCAAAGGTCCACACCTCATGCGAAGGACGATCAGTTTCCCGCGGGTCCTCAAAGTCCGCCGGGATCCGAACTTGGCGGATGCGAGTGTAGCGAGTAACAGGTTTTCGCGCGGTCGCATCTATAGGAAAGGGTGCTTGGCGTTTGCGCAGATGCAGGCAATGCTTGGGCGCACCCCCCCATAAGCCCCTATAAGTCATTTCTCGAAGCGTGCATTTTGCGCAACCCAGGGTTTCCGACTAGCAGACCACGTCAGACAGTCCGGGGTCTTGAACGGGGCGGTTGGATTTGTGGGGATCCCCGAAGTCCGCCAAGATCCGAACTTGGATTGTAGAAGTTGACATCACCACGGCCTTGCGACTGCCTCAGAAGGTTATTCCAGGAATTCTTTCAGAAGAAATTGCTTGTAGAAATGTTTAGACCGTCGTTCGAACAGCCAAAAGTGTTGGATATGCTCTTACGTTCGTGCGGAGAGGAAATAAAGCGACAGACGAGCTTTGTGTCATTACGTGCGACGGCAATGGAATCTCACAGCGTTGGATATGTGGTTTTAACAGCGCGAGTCGATAGCTCCGAACACACTGCCAGCCGCCACCGTGCAAGGGTCACAACACGAAGTACTGATCCCGGCGAACTTCGCTTGTTGGCGCTTGCGATGTGGCGAGCTGCGCAAGGAGTTTGTCGGTGTCATCATGATGATGACGCTGACAAACTCCTTGCGCAGCTCGCCACATCGCAAGCGCCAACAAGCGAAGTTCGCCGGGATCAGTACTTCGTGTTGCGACCCTCGCACGGTGGCGGCTGGCAGGGTGTTCGGAGCTATCGACTCGTGCCGGCAAGTGGGGGCGCCGTTGCAACTGCAAGCCCGACAGAAACGGTTTGTGTGCAGGGCATCATCATGATGACGCCGACAAACTCCTTGCGCAGCTCGCCACATCGCAAGCGCCAACAAGCGAAGTTCGCCGTGATCCGAACTTCGTGTTGCGACCTTGACGCGATGGCGGGCAGGGTGTTCGGAACTATGATTGTTGGTGTGTTGTCATGTGCGCGCGCTCTTCCCCATGGCCATGCGACGGCATCACCATGATACTTCACAGCCGCAGAAACGGTTTGTTTCACGACACAAGCGAGAGTGAACAGCATGGAGGCCGCGTTGTTCGATGTTGAACGAGGCACTCGACACAACCGAGAGTGAACAGCATGGAGGCCGCGTTGGTATCGCAACGGGGACCGCGTTGTTCGATGTTGAACGAGGCCTTCGACTCGAGCGCTGATCACGCCGACAAAACGGTGTGCTTCACGACACAACCGGTGATCATGGGGTGTTCTCCACGACGCAAGCGGTGATCACGCCGACAAAACGACATCGTCATTGTGGCGACTTGCGATGTCGTTCTCCATCCCGCAAAGACCTCTTGTGCGTGCTCTGGCATGGAGCCCTCAGATGTCGCGCGCACAGTCCTTTCACAGGTCAAAGAGTGACGCAGCGCATAGCTCACGACCAGCGCCAGCAGCTCGCGCTCAACATCGGTGGGCTATAGGACGGATGATCTGCACGCTTTGTGCGGGGGATCGGGTTGACACGTGGTCTCTCCGGCGACAGAGGCACATGTTCAGTGGCGAGACTTCTACCCGGTGTTGGACACCAGCCGTCTCAAGCGTAAGAGACAGCCAATGCACAGCACGTGGATGATCGAGAACCGCGCGGGCATCCCTGTCATGTTCGCACAAATGCCCTCCCCCCACGATGTATACAAACCAACAGTCAATCATTTGGAGAACCACGCG